GGCGAGAAGGTGGAGGAGTGCCAGAAGTTCGCCAAGCAGTACATCAACGCCATCAAGGTGAGGCCGCCCGGCCGGCCCCGCTGGCGAAGGGGAGGGGCTGGGGGCCTGGGGGGCGAGGACGCGCTAGTGGCCAACCATGTCCCCACAGGACTACGAGCTCCAGCTGGTCACATACAAGGCGCAGCTCGAGCCGGTGGCCTCCCCGGCAAAGAAGCCCAAGGTCCAGTCTGGCTCCGAGAGCGTCATCCAGGAGGTAAGGCCAGGGCCGGGCGGGCCAAGCCTGAGCCGCCCGGGCGGGCGCAGGGCCCGAGCGCCGGCTGACCCTGCCTCTGCCCTCCCGCCCAGTACGTGGACCTGCGTATGCGCTACAGCGAGCTGACCACGCTCACGAGCCAGTACATCAAGTTCATCAGCGAGACTCTGCGGCGCATGGAGGAGGAAGAGGTACACACAGCCCGCTGCCCGCCGGCCCCGTGGGCCCCCCGTGGGCCGAGGCCCTGCCTGCGCCGCACCCTGGCCTGGCACGCTCTGCCCGGGTGGCTGCCGCCCGCCCTCCTGCTGTCACGCCCCGGCTGCCCGCCGGCTCTCACGCGTCTTTTCTTGGGCTCCTGTGCTGTTCTGTCCACTTGCTCGGAAAGAGGTGGGGGCGGGAGGGGTGGCCTGGAGCGCTGGGCAGTCCCCGCCGGTCCTGTCCTCCTGCCTCCTGGGCGGCGTTGTCTGGCCTGCCAGCGGCCGCCTCTGCTTGGAGCCCCGGCTCACCAGCCCCTCCTGAGCTGCGCCAGCGCTGCCCTGCTGTCCCACGCAGGCCGGCCCGGCCAGCCCCTCCCGTGTGCTCCGAGTGGGGCCTGGTCGCAGGGGGCTTTGTGGCTGGAGCCGGGCCAGCAGGTGCAGGCCTGTGTCGCGGGCACCTTACAGGCCCTGCCAGCCCGCTGCTTTGCGGCGCTGGCCAGTCTGTCTCCGTGGCCCCCTGGCCGAGGCGGCCCTGCCTGAGCGCCGGCAGATGCACGCGGCTCCCTCCGCCGCCGCGACTCCACCTCCCTCCGCCGGCCTCACTTCGCTGTGGGCTGCAGCTTCCCGGCGCCAGGCGCCTCACGCTGTCTCTGGTTCTCTCCTCTCTGCCTGGGCCACAGAGGCTGGCGGAGCAGCAGCGGGCAGAGGAGCGGGAGCGGCTGGCCGAGGTGGAGGCTGCGCTGGAGAAGCAGCGGCAGCTGGCGGAGGCGCACGCCCAGGCGAAGGCGCAGGCAGAGCGCGAGGCGCAGGAGCTGCAGCAGCGCATGCAGGAGGAGGTGGCCCGGCGCGAGGAGGCCGCCGTGGACGCGGAGCAGCAGAGGCGCAGCGTCCAGGAGGAGCTGCAGCAGCTGCGGCAGAGCTCGGAGGCCGAGATCCAGGCCAAGGCGCAGCAGGCCGAGGCGGCGGAGCGCAGCCGGCTGCGCATCGAGGAGGAGATCCGCGTGGTGCGCCTGCAGCTGGAGAGCACCGAGCGCCAGCGGGGCGGGGC